CTTTGAGCTTATTAAAACTATTAAGAGAAGAAATAAATTTGTATTTGATTCCTGTTTCTTTCAATTGATGTAGATCATTTTTACTTTGCATAAAGTTCTATAGTCTGACTATTGTATATACATACACATAGTTTCATTTGTGTTACTCATGTTTTATTTATTATTATATGTTTTGAAACCAATTGTGTTACAGAATGAATGGAAGATACTTTTCTTCGGTAAAAGCTGCAGAGATGATCGTTGAAGAGGTAAATAATAAGAACGGGCAAATGATATTGGAGCAGGAAGAAGATGATCAAAAGAAAAAGAAAAAAAAGCCAAAAATTGGTTTTCGTGATCGTAAGGTTAGTAACTTACTTAGGTCTTTATTACTTAATTTAATAAGTTATTAAATAATGTGATAGGTGTTCGTACATGTGTAATGTAGATGAATATATAGATTGTATAAAAATTGTACGGTACTGTCCACTTAAAACTAAAAACATGTACATATAACAAGTGCACATGGAAATAGCGTATATGTAAATTGCTGTTATATGATACAATATACAATGGCTAGCTTTCGCTAGCCATATTAAAATAATACTTTAATAATAAAAATAATACCATTAATACTTTCATATTAATATGCTTTCGTTTACAAACTTGAATGAATGAAACAATGTATGTTAAACTAATTTACTTAAAACAACTTAGTATCTGTAGTAAGGGGGAAGTTTCCAAATTTTGTCAGTAAAATTGTAATATAATTCAACAACTTAGGTATTGAGAATTGTTTATCACTCCACAAATGATAATTTTCTGTTCTCTTTCAGTACATTTTTTTTGTCCGCTTGAATAAACTTTGTTCACAATTGTTCCTTCAGTTCTTGACTTCTTTATGAAGTCAATTTACTTATTAAGTCCATTTACAATTTCTGCAATCCAGTTGTATGATTTTCCATCCTTATGCATCCAAAGTATTGTTTCCCTTTCACACTTATGCGTTCCTAACTTTTTGGTTTTCATTTTAATTACCGTGTACAATTTTACATCGCCGTTATTGAAATAGTGTATTAGCATCAACTGAGCATACTAATACTTTCAGTCATTGTTAATATTTATATTTCTTGTAAACAAAAATGACAAAATGTGAATAATTTTACAGAGATCGAATATGTTTGTGAGTCACCCATCAAGCATGTTTCTAATAAATGTGTCATAAAAACTGCCTATGTTGTTAAAACATATTGAAATTTCAGTGACATAATTTTGCAACTTAAAACTCATATGTATACATACTAGATTGTTTTAAGCAAATTAATTTGACATACATTCTTTCATATTACAAAAAAATAGGTATTTATACATATAGCCCTCGTATCTTGCGATTAATGCAAATAATTTTTATTTTACATAAAAATCTGCAGTCTATAACGAATTTTCAATTTTCTTTCACATACAAATAGTTGTAAAAAAAAGAGCACTTCTGAGAGTGCTTTAATTTTGTATATTATAAAACTTCAGCAAAATTCATAATTTTTACTCCGACTTGGTGACTTGTTGGTGACTTAGTTTCCGTCTGTTTTAATTGTTTTCATTACAAAAACATCCTCAGCTGATTGATAATATTTCGATCCTAATATTACTAAATAAAGGAGTTGGATTTTCATCATCTCAAGGAAGAGTCTTTCGAGCGAAGTAAGCAAGACAAAAAGTTTGAAAGTTGATTTTACAGATGATGATACACTGTGAGCCCAATCCGAAATGACTTCTGAATACCAAAAATGTACATAGTAAAATCTTTAATTCTTGAGAACGTTAAAAATGTCGATACGAGGCCGAATGTAAACATAACTCTAGAAAAGTAATACTTATTTACCGCTGTGTAATAAATGATTGCAGATTATAGAGTACGAAAATCGTTTACGAGCTTATTCTACACCCGACAAAATATTTCGTTACTTTGCAACTGTAAAACTATCGACCTTAGATAGTACTGAAATATACATGACTCCCGATGACTTTTTGAGAGCAATTACTCCCGGCATGAGGCAACCAGATGGTATAATTTTCTGCTTTTTTTATAGTGCCTTCCTTTTATGCTTTTATTTATCACTTCTCACTTTACTAACCATTCATTTCATCCTTTCGAGTTGACATTAATATTGTCTGACTTAATACTAAGATAAGTTATTGAGTTTTTTATGCATATACGTAGAACCTTTTGTATCCGAATTAAATAAGAGACTTTGTTATTTTGTTCTTATAAAACTTATTACACATTCTAAGCTTTAAATGAGACAATTTTCTGAAGTGATTATCTATTATTTTATCTGATTGAATTGAAAACAGAAAGTTGTTTGCACTTGTTTTTAATTAGACTATTCTGATAACAGATGTTCGGATACGGATTGGTGTTCCATATAAGTTCAGCATATAATTTTGCTATACTTTCTATTTATATATATTTTTTTGTACTGATTTCTGGTTATTCATATATTCACAAAAATGTGTACTATACAATTAGTTTCAAAAAGGTTTCAATGCATTCACAGTCCCTTGCATCATTCATGATTTACAGTTGCAATCAGTATTGAATGCTGTACTGATTATAATGATAATTTTCGCAGAAATAAGAAATTATGTTGTTTAAATAACATGAATTTCTTAAGAAGTAATAATTCTGAATAATTATTTGCATTTCTAAGAAAATTGGATTTTAAGAGAAATAATGGAAATGAAGACACCCAATTAATTAATCATATTAGAGTAGTAAATAATTATCGAGACATATTTTTGATAAAACATATTATTACTAACTAAAATATATGCGAAGTAAAGCTGATGTAATAAATAAAAACGTATTAGTCAATGCCAAGAAAAACAATGGAAAAATAACCGAAGATAATGATTGATCTATATTAACCAGTGGATGATCCTTGTAGAGTTTGTTATCCAAAAAACGATTCCGGAAACAGAATTGCTCTATCACCCTTAGTTTAAAAAAAAAACATGAATTTCTATAAAATAGCTCTATTTGGGGTAAAAATAATCATTACGTAAAAACTAAGGACATTAGAAAGTTTGAACTTATCTTAGAAGATAGAAGTTTGCCAAACATACCAGTGTACTCAGTTTTTAATTTATCCTATTTCAAGTGGTTGTGTAAATATCTATCATAGTTTAGAAAGTCGTAATGCGCATTTTTTACCCTATAAGTTTACCCTATAAATTTGATGAAGAGTTCTTCGTCTGGCACGAATTTACTACACAGCATCGAATTTTATGGACATTTTTGAAAAGGAATTCGACTAATTGCTAATCTACAGTTTTGTAGAATTCATCGTAATAAAAAATGACTTTTTAGCTGAATAAATTAGGTACCTGAGGTACAATAAACTGCATTTGCTTTGCCTTTCGCGCAGCGTTTGACCAATTAAAACTCGATGGTAACGCGAGCAGCGGACGCGTATTCAGTTAGTGTTTTTGTGGAACTATAAACACTTTAAGTGATTACGTCTTCTCAGAGAAATTTTTATAAATCATAATTTATGGATCATTGTCAAGGTGATAAATGTGTATATATTTGAAATATTACAACTAAAACTGCATTTTTATATCAACAAAACTAAAGAACATTGAAAATATAATCTTTCCCGGTTTTCATTCTTTTATTAACATTAAGAGGGAACTTTTAATTTTGTTTTATAAAGAAATTTCCGCAGAATCGCATGTATCTGATTACAATTATTGGTTGAACAATGAATAGGGTAGCGGAGCCGATCACTGAGGAATGAACAATTGCTGTGTCTTTGGTTTGTTGTTGGGCATATTTAACTTTGTATTTATAGAATGAGACATATTACATATTACGCGTTAGCCAAAAGCGTAACGTAATAAAACTTCGAGAATTTAGTCGATAACTACGTGCCAAATTATAGAAAATGAGACCTCAAATCAAAGTAAGTTCGAGCGTACAGAGTACCGAGTTAAACATCGAATATCGGTATCTCAGTCACATTCATTTCCACGTCTCCATTTCTTTTAGTTTACTAGTTGAATTCGCAGAATTCACCTCCTCATTCGTTTAATTGCATCACGTATGTATAAATATTTAAAGCGTCTCATTATTTCGTTCGGCACGAAATGTTACATTTTTCTTACGTTGTGGAACTATTACGGCCCATTGGAGACATTAAAGATATTTACAATGCAGATCATTGAATATGAAAATCGCGTGAGGCACTATTCCACTCCGGACAAAGTTTTTCGATATTTCGCTACGTTGCAAGTGATTAACAACGACATTCACGAAATCTTCATGACACCCGATGACTTCTTGAGATCAATAACGCCCGGCGTAAAACAACCCGATGGTAAAAATTTTGAACAATCTCATTACTGTGTGTAGATGTCGCTGTAGTATAGTGAGACGCTTCGAGATTTATATCAAACAATACTTAACAGAACGTACACATGAATGTATTAAATATGTATATATGCCTACTATTCGTACATTATGGATAGTTCAAGGCTCTCAACAATGCTAATGTTCTCAATAAATGAGTCGTTTTTATTTTGAAAGTGGCATAAGTCACTTTACCGTAATGAAAAGTGGTGATCTTTTAATGTTTATACGAAATTATATTATACGATATTATATTATAAAAAATATCAGTATCCCGAGATAACAAATACAAGTAAATCTTCTCGAAAGTTAGCATCCATATTTTTAAACGTGTTAAAACGCAAACCCTTAAATATATCGACTTAAAAAACGGCTCAAATATTGGTAATGTATATTGTAAATACTTCTTGCAAACCGCAATAATGTTGAGAGCCTTAAAGTATTGATAATATTATTGATAGTTTTTTTGTGGGTATCCTTAAAATAAAGGTGATGTATTTAAACGCTAATTATTATACAATAGCTTGGTGAAATGGGGTAAATCGACTAATCAAGATCATCGAAGTCACATTATAGAACAGGTAGAATGTATCGTCTTTTGTTGAATGAGTCAGAACTACAAATTTTATTTTCGTCCCGAGATGTTATACATATAGTGTAATGAAAGAAAGGAAGTGATATAGTGGCCGAAATAATGATAGGTTTGCGAAATCACAATTTCGTTACCTTTTTCGCTTAAATCGATCTTTCCTGAAAATTCTGCAGTAGAGAAATTTTGCGATCTCAAATTAACGTGTCAAAATCTATGTAAATTGATGTATAACATGACACAAAAAAATGTAATGGAAAACAAAAAATGTACGGAAAACATCAGGCGCGTGTGTTGCTTTATGTAAGTGTATGTGCGTAGCATTTAGGCGACTGGTGAGCGGGTGGTACTGGGTGAACATTGTAAAACCACGGTGAGTAGAACACGATGCAATAAACAAAATTGACAAAATTGAAAATCGTGTTTGAGGACAAATCCGAAGATATAGAATACATCTACGATGGCCAAGACTAAGATCAAACATTTCTTTACACGCTGTACATTGAAATGAAAAAAAAAAACATGAATGATATTTTTAGCTTAATTTATTTGTAAAATTGTTCTGATAACAGCAAACGCTTTTATTGGCACAAAAAGATTATTCTCAGAATAACTGTTGCAATTATTAAGCTTTGACGAATCTAATTTTTGAGGAGACTATCTTATAAGCTTCTATTAAGAAATTACAGTGTAATACGGATTCTTTTTCATTTGTAACACCTGCATGAGCATGTGAATGATCAGCATGATAGCATAATCACAATTAAATTGTTCATTTTATTTGGCAAGATATATCGTGCATTAAAATGATACTATCTTTTTAAGGTCTTGGTCTGGATAAGTACAAACGCTACGACCCAAAGGTGAGTGATTTATTTCGTCTGTAATATTTTACTCTGATCAGCTTGAAAATTTTCGTTAATTTTGACGATATAAAAAGATATTAAGTGCATATTATATTGTGTTACGAAATTCGTCGTAACAAAAATCTAATAAAATTTTTACAGTAATTTTTACTTTTTCAATGGTAGAATGTTCATAACAAACTGGAACTATCCCTAGACGAGGATAGTATCTTCTACAAACTGGGAAGTGCCGGTTTAATCACTTTCTCCGATTACATATTTCTTCTCACCGTATTATCCAGTAAGTACTACATATTTATATGTATAAATATCTTTTTTTTCATTAAACTAAAACAGAGCCACTTGGTTTTTTCTATGTTTTGTATTTAAGGACTTCTTTATTTAGCTGAATATTCTTCTTCACAGATAAAATATTATTATATTTAATTATTATATTTAAAAACGATAGCAACATTCATAACTATGAATATTTAAAACAAAATTTTGTTATTGGTGATAAATGTGCTTTTCTTTTATAGCTTCCAGGAGGCATTTTGAGATTGCTTTCAGGATGTTCGATTTTAATGGTGATGGAGATGTTGATTCTGAAGAATTTGGAAAAGTTGCAACCTTAATCCGACAACAAACTAGTATTGGAAATCGACATCGTGATCATATAACCACTGGCAACATGTTTAAAGTATTAAGCATTATTTCTTGATTTTTAATCACTTAAACGCATTTGCTACCAGCGTTTTGTTTTAGCCACATCCTCCATACCTATAATATCATGTTGTGTTAGAACAAAATGTTATAAATATAAACACTCTTTCATTTTTCAGGGTTCATACCATAATTAATTCAATGTATGTTATGTGTCTAGGGTGTCAATTCCGCACTAACTACATACTTCTTTGGGTCAAATATGAAAGGAAAATTGACTATTGAAAAATTTCTCGAATTTCAACAGCAATTACAGACAGAAATACTGAGTTTAGAAGTAAGTTTTTCGAATGTATATCATTAATTATTCCAGGGCCATATTTTTGAAAAATTCATTCGACAAATCAGCTCACGATGTTAATAATAATGGCAACAAAGGCGAAACTTTCGGAAACTGGGCAAAACATTTTTCGCGAAAGTTTGGACCTTAAAACTCGAGGCGCGGAAAATCCATCTGGCAATCATTGTATATATATATATATAGACTCTGTTATTACACAGTGTATTGTGACGAAAGAGAACATGTGCACTTCCTCAATATTATAATAAGATACTGTGCAAAAGCTTGTTTAATACATGTTCCACAAAAACGTTGCAGTTCGAGAGAAGAAGTCCTGGTGAAGATGGTAAAATATCAGAACAAGACTTCACAGAATTATTGTTAGCATACGCGGGATATCCAGACAAGAAAAAGGATAAAATTCTAAAAACTATAAAGAAACGGTAAATATACGCATTTACAATGGCAATATGTCTTGAATTATTTTCAAATCATATGTTGCTTATTTTAATAACTTAATATATTAATTTTTTATTACGAATTTAGAACATACATATATTTTTTCCCTTAATCTTATACTATATACATTATCTTTAATTCACAATTACAGATTTAAAAATATTACCGTGAAATATGTAAGGATGATTTATTAAATTACATTAATTCTTTTCTTGAAGGATATTCTAGGGTCGCGTTTGTTTTCTTCAACATGTTGTTATTGTTTTTTAATACTTGCATGACCTCTCACAGATACACATTGTTTTAATCATTAACACACATCAACATGTGTCTTGTTTCAGTTTCAAACAAAATCCACAAGGGATAAGCAAAGATGAATATTTAAAGTTCTTCCACTTTTTAAATAATATTAATGATGTAGATACAGCATTGACATTCTATCATATTGCAGGAGCATCAATTGATCCAGGTTTGTGTCCACGTTAATTCATACCTTTTACCAATAGAGCTAATACCTTTTGCTACACTATGACTAGTTTTCCAGAGGTGTAGGTTTAAATTTTCACACAACACGTTTGCTTTAATATCTCTGTTTCATATTTGTACAACAAAATTTTTTTTTCTTTCTAGCTACTTTGAAGCATGTTGCAAAGACAGTAGCACATGTGGATTTGAGTGATCACGTCATACAAGTAGTTTATACTATTTTTGATGAGAACAGTAAGTATTTTTCTTACTAAAACAAACAAAACAAACATAGCAACTGTACGTTTATGCTAGAGAAAAATCATGATTTCATTTCTTGTGTATTTACAGTGGACGGTCAACTAAGTAACAAAGAATTTGTCGCTGTTATGAAGAATAGAGTTTTGAGAGGACTGGAAAAACCAAAAGATACTGGCTTTGTAAAATTGATCGAGTCTATGGCAAAGTGCTTAAAAATTAGTTATATGTCCTTCGATAATTAAAATTAACATAATTCAAAATAATCATTTTCTCATACATGAAGAAAAAAAATAATCGTCAACGGCTTTCTTGTTTCGAATAAATAAACATAAATTATTAACTGAATAAAAGATTACTGAAACATGAACAAGTACTATTTTAGTTTTTACCCTTTACATCCATTCATTGGTCTGTACAATGCCATTACAAATAATCATAAAATGCTGAAATTGTTGAAGAAAATTACCAACAATTGATGGTGTACATATAGGCTGGTGAAGCCAATTATTGTGGAGTGTCCAATTGCTATGTCCTTGGTTTTTTATATTCATTAAATAAGACATATTAAATGTTTTTATTCAAAAGTAAAACAAATAAAAAAATAAAAAGATTTAATATGTTTTGTTTGATAAATATAAAACTAATTATGATCGAAAACAAACCAAAAGGCACAACAATTGGTCGCCTCACAGTAACCGACTCCACTACCGTAGACGACATAAATAAGAATAATTCTAGCAATCAGATATTTAGGTTCCATGCTCGGGATAATTACGGACAGTTCGAAACCAAGAGTGTTTAATTTGATCCTTCTTTTAAAATTTAACAACAAAACAAAGTCAGAGGCCGCTGAGCCTGTACAATGACATTAATTGAACGATGTAAACCGCATTTTCGGAGACAACCCTGAAATGTGCTGCAAAATGGCATCATCAAATCCCATTTGTGAGATCTTTCCACCACTCTAACAGTAACATTATTTAAGAAATGTATTCTTCCATTTTTATTTATTTCTAATTTTTGTTAGAATCTTCTTATTTATAAACATTTAATTTATTTAGAATATCTTGATTTCATTATTTTTGTGTTTCATGGAACAGTAAAGATCCGTGACTTACTGCTTTTCGTCTATAGAATATCTCAATAGAGATCATATAATTTATTTGTGATTAATATCCCAGTAGTGTTCGCCATAAGTGCCACCTATATCTGCCCATTTGACCTATAAAAATACAATTGCATGTTTAGAATTCGTCATGTACCGATGTATTTTGTCAAAGAAATAATTTATTTTAAAGTGACGGCAATACCTTTCCCCGATGACGATTTTCTAGAAAATCTTTTTCTTCAAATCTTTGCTCCCACTGAATCGGATTTTCACAAACATATCCAAATTGTAATTTATCTCCAGATTGGCGTTCTAGGAAAATGTCCCTGAAATTTTTAGTTTCCCAATTTAAATACAAAAACATTGTGAAGGCATCGTATATCCATAAGTGTTAAATTATACGAAACTCGTATCTTCGTTACTGTTTATTCTTTTTAATGGAAAATAATCTAGTACGAGTGAACAATTCGAAAATACGTAAATACAAATTGTATTGACCATTGATATGAGTAGGTAGAGGGGGGGGGGCTTTTTTTGCCCTCATATAAAAAATATAGAACTTTTACTTCAAATATGGATTATCCTATATATATTATAATAATAATAAAAATAATTATATTATATATTATAACATATATATATATTATATATTATCCTATATATGTATATAATGCACACTGGAACCTCTACGAGAAAGGTTCGAACTTTCAAATATATTCTAGCCTCTACGAGATAGGTTCTGATTTTCAAGATTCAAATACTACTTATAAGAGGTTCGAATCTCTGTAACATCGAAGTACAGTAAATTCTCCCGAATTGACCCTCAGCTTGGAAACAAAAAAGGACAATTTGGGAAGAGGAGATACGATTATTCGAGNACAATTGCATGTTTAGAATTCGTCATGTACCGATGTATTTTGTCAAAGAAATAATTTATTTTAAAGTGACGGCAATACCTTTCCCCGATGACGATTTTCTAGAAAATCTTTTTCTTCAAATCTTTGCTCCCACTGAATCGGATTTTCACAAACATATCCAAATTGTAATTTATCTCCAGATTGGCGTTCTAGGAAAATGTCCCTGAAATTTTTAGTTTCCCAATTTAAATACAAAAACATTGTGAAGGCATCGTATATCCATAAGTGTTAAATTATACGAAACTCGTATCTTCGTTACTGTTTATTCTTTTTAATGGAAAATAATCTAGTACGAGTGAACAATTCGAAAATACGTAAATACAAATTGTATTGACCATTGATATGAGTAGGTAGAGGGGGGGGGGCTTTTTTTGCCCTCATATAAAAAATATAGAACTTTTACTTCAAATATGGATTATCCTATATATATTATAATAATAATAAAAATAATTATATTATATATTATAACATATATATATATTATATATTATCCTATATATGTATATAATGCACACTGGAACCTCTACGAGAAAGGTTCGAACTTTCAAATATATTCTAGCCTCTACGAGATAGGTTCTGATTTTCAAGATTCAAATACTACTTATAAGAGGTTCGAATCTCTGTAACATCGAAGTACAGTAAATTCTCCCGAATTGACCCTCAGCTTGGAAACAAAAAAGGACAATTTGGGAAGAGGAGATACGATTATTCGAGCCTTGCATCTCGTTTTTATAGTTGTTGACAATCGGTAACTATAAAAAAAACTAGCCGCAAGACTCGAATAATGATATCTCCTCTTCCCAAATTGATCATTCTTGTGTACAATCTGAGCGTTAATTAGGGCGAATTTATTGTAACTCCCAATGCAACGACAACGACTCCAGTTACGCCAATGAATTGTCGACTACAATAGATTAGTAGAATAATTCAATTGACTGATCATATTTATTTCGATTTTTCCAATTTCCAATCACGTTGCCTGAATAATTATATATTGTTTATTAATATACTATTCGCTACAAGGACATCGAATAAAAAGTTACTTCACATAAGTTACGTGTCAATGACATAATAATACCCACTCACTGAAAAAGTTCCTTTTTCATTGCCAATTCGTCAAGAATTGCGTCATCTGACTTTCTCTGAAGCTTGTCCCCTTCATCTGGAATATTTTTTGAGTTTGTTAGCATTAAATTGATTTGACACAACTTTTTCCAAACTTCGTTCAAACATTATTCGGGGCATATCCAATATCCCAACATAGGACAATTACGGTGATTTTTTTTAATATGTTGTTGGAGGCATGTTTCTGAACAATTTTTTCCTTAGGCATAACTTACGGAGAATCTTAGTTTCCGAGATATTCGTGACAAACTACTACTACTATTGCATTGAATTTTTCATGTACCTACGCATCTGAGACGGTGTGTGCGTCGGCATGAAGTTGCTGATTTTCTGCTAGGATAGTAAATTTTTCCTAATAGTCCTTGTTAGAGACTTGCTTACATTGTCCTTGTAATATTTCTACAACGATTAATTTAATTTTGCAATCTCAATTTATTCGAATGAAGAATAAAGAATTATTCGAAGAAATAGGTATTAATTGTTATTCGAACAAAATATTTGTCTACAAAGAATTCATTCAAAACAATTCAATCCTGGTTCAAAGCGAAGAAATCCTATAGTAAACCTACCTAAAAATCAATAATTAATCTTTAAAATAACCTAAACAATTTCGATGAGACTTAATCGTACCCTATTGTCGTCGAAGTGATTAATAAAGAAGAAAATAGGGGTGTAGTCTGATCGTCAGACACATTTGTGCAAAAGTTTAAAAGAAAATTACATCGGCAATTTACCTGGACGATGATTTCGTATTCTTTTTCCAGGAGTTGCAACAATGAAAAGAAAAATGACAGATGTCACAATAAAAATTTTGAACATGTTGTACTTGCTACAACTTTGTTATAGTTAGCAATGATGACTGTAAATGAAACGTATGTTACCAAGGACAGAAATCACTGACGGAGTTTGAATTTGAACTGATCGGTTGATCAGTGATGGTTTATCCGTAATGCTCCGATTACGCTGCTGAATCTAGAAAAGTGACAGTCACCGTACCTTCAATAAGGTATGCTTTCACCAATTCTAGTATGCCCGTTGTATTCCATTATCTGCTCATGTTGCTTCTGTTGTAGCAATTGGATGACCTACTAATAACTTTATTATGTTAGCCTTATATTTGTAGCACGCACGAACGCAGAAAAATAAAATCGATATAATCACTAATTATTTGCAACACGATCCTCCCCTTCAATTTTCCAAATTGACTTTTGTTTAGACCATTCGATAAGCCACTCAAAGAAAAGCTCCTGAACCAATTTTTAAGCCCTTATCCCCACCACAAGGGTAGTTAAAATATGAATTAACAGATTATGTGCTATAAATAATTTATGTGCAAAAAATAAACCAACCCAGATAAAGCGTTTGAGTAGCAGTAAAAGTTTTTTGTGAACATCTTGAAAACTACTAAATATCCGAAGCTAATATTTTATATTTGGGATCCTTTCCCCCACTCCTATACACTCCTCCAAATGCTATTTTGATCAACGTCAGGTCTCTTTTGCAGCTAATATTTTTTCTAAGAATTGTAAGTAGACAGAATAAATATATTATATATAATTTTTGTATTGTTGTATTGTATTATTACCATTGCCTTCTCGTAAAAATAAAACAAGTGTAACAGAGTCATGGAAATTCAGCTCAATATGTTTATTCATGCAAGGCTTATTTAGAAGGGTATCATGGGTCCAAGTAAACCCAGACATGATCCGTATGATTGACCGAACCATGATTGTTGCGGGGATTAAGGGAACGAGTATTGAAACCCTAGTTGGGGAAAGAAAAATTGTAGGTACAGCAAATCGATGAACATTCATTTGATTCACGTGTAGGACAATCTTTATTACTTCATGTAATACTAAGTACAACATAGTTCTACAAATTGATATAATAATAATATCCTTATATTATTATAGTTTCAATCACTAAACTTTTAGTTGTATTTCTTGGGTGCGTGCGTGTATGCTTAAGTATTAGTTTCACATAATCATACAAATACGTACATATTTACGTACACTCAAACGCACACATACACACACACGCACACTTATTTATTCACTTACTTATACCGATTAATTCTTCCATGTCATATAAATAGAGTATTACATGCACGCGTATATTTGTGTACGCATGTATACTTAAACGATATTTCTACCCTTCGTAATAGGGTTTGCCCTTATATTTTACTTACCTTAACCGATAGTCGATATATTGCATATACTTGTGTATATGTATGTCTATATGTATGTATGTATATATATATATATATATATATATATATATATATATATATATATATATATTTATATATACATATATACATATATGTATATCATCGAGATATTATAAATAATATTATACTTTATAAAAGCACTTTTTCTTGCCTATAATATCAACGTTAATTCTTCTAATGATCGCATTGTATCTCTTCTGTTTTTAAGGATTTTCTCGCAATGGTTTGTCTTAAGATAACAATATATAATGCGCTCTGTCTATAAAAAACGCCGTCCTTGGTTTCGGCAGCACATCTATAGGCAGAGGTATGTCGAATTTATTTGGCCAGCAGGACACTTCAAGCACTTTATTTTTAAATGCTGACATCGATAAATATCGGAGTTGTTTAAGAGAATAGAGAATCTATCCTATGATAATACGATCTCGTTCGTACAATCCAGACGCAAATAATCGGACACGGTCCGTCTTGGCTCACAATATAAGTCTAGTTTGTGTCTATCATTTATTTTGGTGACTGATCGTGGGAGAAAAAGTCACCTTCGTCTGAAAGCAAAGAGAAGGCCGCCTGTGCCGGTCAGTTTGACAACGTGACCAAGCGTGTTCATTGGCAGACCGTACCGTACGTACGGTATCGTCTCGTCTCGATTCGTTCTGTGTGTAACGTTTGTGCACATTTTCATAGCAATAATCGTACACCCATGCATCCATGACAATATTTCTTTGAATCAATATTCTTTGAGAATTCAGATTTTAACTGCAATCCAACCAACAACGAGTCGAATCAATAAATGTCAACGAAAAAACTGCGCGGTGTTCACGTGAGACCGTTCACCGTTGGCTGACGAATGCCGGCTCTTGGTGGTCCTTTATCAAGGGCCCTTGCTTTCAAAGTCTGGGGGATAGCTTAATATTTAAGGGGTCGTGGTACATGTGAGCCGAACCCTGCGTCGAGCATCAGAAGTTGTTCACACATTTACTGACTCGATTTCGTTGACTCGATCAGCATTGATTAACCTTGACAGCGCATTCAGTTCAATTTATTTTAACGCTTCGCAGAAACTGAAAACTATTCTTGATTGCGAAAAGGTAATTACAACTCTAAGACGGAGGAGGATAAAATGGCTGTTAAATGTGTACAACGGATGAAAAGACACGCCGAATAAGTTTCAGTCGAAACGAACAACTCTGATAGAATGAGGAGTGGTAATTCATAGTTCGATTACAAGTCTGTCATAGTATGTAGATACGTATAGATACGTTTGCAGAAGTAACAAGTAAAAGTGCCTCCATAGTGCAATACATCGTGCAGCGTTCTAAAGAAGAGGTTCCTTTGAAACATAAATTAATAATTCAAGTAAGGAGCTAAACATTCGAGTTAACTTAGAAAAAAAAAATTAGTCAGCTTGTAATTATACTTTTCTATACCGTGCGATTGTGAATGTAACGTCGATTTCCTTTATATACGTTATAAATGTACTTGGCACTTGGTTGTAGAAAAATATTATCTCTTGATGTTGCGTATACCCAATAAAAATACATTGAACTAAATGTTGACAATCAATTTATCAATAAAATCTCAATCCTGCAACTGAATTAAAGAAACATTATTGCCAATGTACGATGCTTACCATGAATGAAACTTGTGTAACGTGCAGAGGTTACACCCATTGGGAGATTCTTGATTAGAGTGTTAAGGAAACTTGTTACGCGTTAAGTGTGAGTTAACACTTTGACTGCGAACAGTGCCTAAATCTACCTGACCGTATATGTACACGGTTACGTGTTTCGTTTGTGGCCATTCCACAGATAAAATGTTAAATGTGCCATGACAATTCATCGAAAACTGGCACCAAATGTGAACAGAACGTTCGCGTGATCGGTGCTGCGGTGGCAACTGAGTGATTGTTAGACAACGATGCTCAGGAACGAATTTTAGGGAACCCTGATGCAGAAGAAGCCTCGTGTAGAAGGGCCCGAAAATTGTGATTCTGCCCTAACCCGATCACTCGTCGCTCGCGCGCAGCTCTTTATATTTCGTGCCAATTCTCTGCGAACGTGCGAAGGTCGCGCACTTAGATTCTTGAAATTGTCCCTCCATATGCAACTTCTCTTAACAATAGAAATTTCCTTCGCGTCTCGCTGCATATATGTATATGTAGCTGTTTCGCGGTAATTGTTTCTTCTAAATGTATTTTACGTATACACGCGAATACCAATATTTAAATGTGCGGGGTCTTGGAAGACTATCGAATCTTTGACTACTCTTCCTCGTCACAATCTTCCATCTTCGTAGGGAATCATAGGGAAATCATATAAGAAGAAAACGAATCGATTCGATCGAACAACTTCACCAGACTTGTACCCCTATTATTATACGCCTATGTATTATATATAAAATAAAGTGTCGTCTTTGAATTTGTTGCTCGATTACGCGAACACCGGTCGACGGATCAACTCGAAACCTTGCAGGTAGTCAAGTATAGGCAAAATCATGCGCTCCGAATTTCAGTCGTGTTTTCAAGGGGAACCCGAAACGTCGCGTCTTCAATTACATGGTTACTCCCCCCTCGGCTAATTGCTAGAGGCAAAGGCAGCGTAATCAAAAAAGAGCCACAACCGTCATTCGTCTCCTACTTCGTTTATGTTTCGTACACGTGAAGGCAGGCGGGAATGGCGGGATAGTCTTTTGTTGTAGATCGAACAACCAAATTATTATTAATCATCGCTCTCTGAACGTATGAAGTAAAGTAATAAGACTGGCGTTATATTTTATACCTGGGACAAAGTGACAGTTATTTGAAAAATCCTGGTAAAACGAATCGATAAGAAAAACATGTATTGTTTATATTAGATCGAGTTATAAATAACTTCCGCTTTATTATCAGACATTTATTTTGTTTTCTTTTTTATTTTATTTTTATTTTACTTACTTTGAACCCTTATCTACTTAGTGAAAGCAAAAACTCGTTTGTCCAGGTGACTCATAGTGAGTAGATACGAACAATTGATTCTACCTAGCTGCATGGAAAGTTATTTATGACTGAACCTAATAATTCAAGTTGACGTATTAACATCGCACGATTAAAAGATTTCAATTTTTATAAATAACAATAACTCTTGCGACTAACCCAAGAAATAACAAGATTATGAGCAACGAAAACAAAATTTCAAACATGCATAATTTATTACTTATAAGTAGACTGCGAATTTTATGCATTTATGACAAGTATGATTAGGTGAAATACAGAAACAATAACAAAATTTAAAGAACTTCAAAACACTGTTGTATTATTTTGAACCCCTTAAAATTATTAAGAAACAAAATAAATGTCTATACAGCTTCTGTAGGTTGTAATTAGTGCGAACAATTTTGATTTTGCATTAAAAGTGCGCAGTCTACTTATAAGTGAAGATATTTGAATTGAAATAATAATTGCTACGCGACGATTCTTGGCATATTGATTACAACAGTCATGGTCCCCGTTTTATTAGATTGGGAGAAAATCAATGTTGGCTTTTAAACTTTCTGTCGAGCTTTCTTTGTTTTTCTTAGCTGACTTAGGTGGCCAATAACAGTTGGGTGACTCTCGCCCACCTTCTGAACTGTTTTGCCTCGATTAGCTTCAGCCAATACCTTTAATTGGTCATTGTAAACGACA